ATGACACGAACGTCCTATCCAGGAATGGCTTCGTGGGAGCATGACGCCAGGACATGCTCAGTGCACACAGCTGAATTTTCTATGCACTGCCTTTTTTAACTGGCGGCATATGGTCTCGCAGATTACGGAAACGGCGACCCCTGTGTCAATAAGCACTTGAGCGGCAGTCCCTTTCACATTGACGTCAATAACGTTTTGCGGCAAAAGAGATGGAGGCCTTGAGCAGTTCAACTTGTATGCAGCTGTTGCCTCCGGAGCGGCAGCAATCACTTTCCCTCTTCTGTAGCAGGTCGGCGACACATAGGCGACGGGTAGCGTCGTCGGGGAGATGGTGACCGTTGGTTCACATAGGGTCGTCAACCGTCAGTGGTGTACCTTGAAGGCGTCCTTGACAACGACACAACCAGCTTGCCCATCGTGTCAAAAGGAGCAGGGGCTTGAGGACAGTGGCGGGCGACATGTCCAGCGATATCAAAGGTGAAACAGATGGGCCTATTGTCCGGCGGCGGTGGCGCGACGGTAAAATGGAGCCAAAGATCTTGTAAAGGTATAAGGCACAGCAACCGGGTTGTAGGCACGACATGGGGCGGCATGACAGGTTGAGCAGAGGGTATACGCTGTTGCGTAGGCGGAGCAGCGACGACGGCGTACATTATAGGTGCAGTGACAGGTGATTCCTGATGCACCGGTCGGAAGGCTCAGCGACTTGGGTCCGAATTGCGTGTTGTAGGTCCGTAGCCAAAGCGTGCATGGGCGCATGAGTCAGTGGCAATAGTGATAGCTGGCACGCTACCTTTTTGTTGGCCAAGTCTTTGATTGTCAAAAGGAGCAACTGCTGATAGTTAGGACGGGCAGCTAGCTGCAAGCTTGCAAAATTGTCTGGCGTCGTGAAGGCTTGACGAGCAATGGTGAGCTGCCTACGCAACTTGTCGAAGCTCTGACAAAGGGAGACAAGTAAAGCAATCGTGGATGGATTTCTCGCAAGCAACATCTGAAAGGCGCCATCCTCGATACCCTTCCAAATGTGCCTGATCTTTTCTTCCTCATGCATGGCAGAGTTGATGCCGTTGCATAGATGCAACACATCTTCGAAGTAGCCCATGTAGTTCTCACTTGGTTGCTGTGCACGTTGACGCAAACGCTGCTCGGCGTGAAGCTTGCGAGTCGCAGGTTGTCCAAAGACGTCCGTAATAGCAGTCTTGAAAGCAGACCACGTGGGAATGTCAGCTGCGTGGTTATTAAACCACAGTTGCGCAATGTTCGTGTGATAAAACGTGACGTAGCCGAGCTTACTTTGGTCGTCCCATGTGTTGCTGGCACCGTATTTGTCGTACTTTGCCGACCGATCTTCCGTGTCTGATTCAGCAAAGCCGGTGAAGAAAGAGGGGTCTCGTTGAAGATACACAGTGCCGCAAGTGCAAGGATGGATGAAGGTCCCACGTGGAAATGAGTCTCGGGGGCCATGTTGGTGTCACAAAAGGGGAAGCTTACGGGAGCAAAGTTCTAGCTTCTTACGGGAGTCCACACACCTTGTGGGGTCTCGACGTTGAGAACACTATGCTCTTGGCGTGAACGGTCTTGGAGTGAATGCTCTTAGAGTGAATGCTCTTGGAGTGAACCATGATGATGATGGTGGTGATAAACGCTCGCGAGTACATCGCCACCTATCGATCATTAGCTGTGACCCTTGAATGCAGCTTATGTACGAGACACATCGCCACGAGGCACTAACAACTTTACAGAGGGTGTTAGGACCATCACATATCCCCAACCTTAATTAAAACCATATCCTGAAAAGAACAAAGAAATCCACGACAAGTTTTAACAAAAGATGACAACAGATGTCCCTAAAGAATGTCCACGCACCACAACACCACCGCCGGTCGACGCTGCTACACTATCCGGCTTGGCGACCTCACCTCAGTACTGGTTGGACCCACAATGGCAATGTTGTCGTCGGCGCGAGGAACTGTCACTCGCGCCAACACGTCTTTTGGTTGCGACCAGCACTCACGAGGGCGCCGGACTGCAGGCAGTTGCGCAGGTCTCAGGCATGTCCATCGCCCGATTTCATGACCACATTCCTGGCCAATGGTGAAGACAAATCTCCAGAATACAGCCAGTCGCGGGTTCCATCACTCCCACTGTGCACAATCAAAAAACTCGATGGAACAATGCAGTAGGGCATAGGAAAGGGTCCTTCGTGCTTCTCACCCACCTGGTACGATGGTCAGTACTGCTAGCAAATACATCGGCAGCGGCCTAGATGCCCAGCGAAAATAAAACAACGATCGCTTTTTCTAACTCGTGCATCTCATGATAAAAAAAATAAGGGAAGCAGAGTACAACACCTCAATGCCACGATCTTCCTAGTTGTGCCACATGTGACAGGTGGCTGCGCAGAACCTTAGGCCTACTGAGTCACTTGACAACAACCGGCATCCACCTAGTATTTAGCCCAGCGCAGAAGAGGAGACATCCACTCTGTAAGGAGCCTACTTGCTCGCTGCACACAACAGCTTACCGAGCAATCGGCGCACATCATCTCGGATGGTGTCACGACGGCTCGGCGCCAAGCCCCAAGACAAGACAGCAATGATGTCCTATTCCCCGAGTCCAAAAGAGATAGAAGAAGCTATTCCCAGAAAAACAGACCATCCACGAGGCTTCTGTGCTCACTCACTTCGGTCTTGGCCGACAATCTATATGCTCTAAGCTCTGCTCACCCAAGATGCAGACTGCATGGCTCTCATCCCAACTGAACAAAGTTCTTTAAAACCCCCACTAACAGCTAAAAGAAACTTGCGAGCAAAAAGAAAACTCATTGTGCCGACAAGTTCAAACATGTCACAATAACCAATCTCCTCTCTCTCAACAAAGCACATCGCCGATGCTAGCAATGAAGGTCCCCCTTAGTCTACTCTACCCCAGCTAAAGAAAAAAATAGCTGTTCCAAACCACGAAAACTGTTTTCCGATGCTTCAAGAGCCCCACATTGCCAGTGTGGGGTCTCGAGGTTAAGAGCACTAAGCTCTTGGAGTCAACGGACACAGTAGACACGGTCGGTATGAACAAAACAACAGACATTTATTTAACTGCTTTTAGATCAACGATATCATCAGCTGAATTATAATACACATCAATTGTGATCATGCTAAACAACCTTACACAATATTACACAACACTTAATAACATGACAAACACAAGGCGGCGGCGCCAACGCATGACTCATCGCAAGCGACGACCCTTGGTGTCGTCCTCACGGGCCCACCGCGAAAGACAATCGTTCGCTCCACCCGCCACACACCAAAGAGGACCTCTCATTTCTCAAGCGCCCCCAGCCAGGCTTCCCGCCAGGTGTCAATGCCGGCACTACCGTTCTAACCATGATGATGATGGTGGTGATAAATGCTCACGAGCACAGCACCACTTACTGCTCAATAGCTGTCACCCCTGAATGCGGCGTGTGTGCGAGACACGTGTGCCATGAGGCACAGACAACTTTACAGGAAGTTTTGGCACCACCACAATCTTCACCAAATGTCACGTGATTTATTCATGTACAGACATACTGGGAGGCCGAGGAACGTCAGCAGGCCAAAATCCAAGCAAACGCGGGCTCGGGTTGCGCGTGTATATCACCAATGCTGTGGCTTGCCTTCCTGGCTGCTCCGTCGTCGTCCCGCATTGTTTCCTACAATATATATATATAAATATAAATCTTTGTAAAAGCTTGTTAATTCAATCTTGTAGGGGACTACCAAACTCTTCTAAGTAAGTGTAATTTCAAATTGTGGGTGGGCACTGGAATAAACAGACATCACGCTAAAACTATACCCAAGGAAGCCATCTCTGGACTCGTTATCGAAAACCAGGCACTACTACACGTTTGTGACAGGGGATTTTATAAATTAGGTTGATGGAGCTCTAAAAGTGCACAGAATCTATTGATCTTGTAGGGGACTACCAAACTCTTCTAAGTAAGTGTAATTTCAAATTGTGGGTGGGCACTGGAATAAACAGACATCACGCTAAAGCTATACCCAAAGAAGCCATCTCTTGACTCGTTATCAAAAACAAGGCACTACTACACGTTTGTGACAGGTGATTTTATAAATTAGGTTGATGGAGCTCTAAAAGTGCACAGAATCTATTGTTCAGTTCGTCATATGCCAGAAACAAGCAGCAATATGCATTTATGTGAGCTGCGAGCCTTAATGTCAAACTTGTATATAATACTATTTATGCTTCGAAACATGTTTATTTACATGATAGAGTTAATGCAACCAAAATAAAAGTAATCAGTAATTTTCATTGACTTGCATGTCTTCCTAGGCAACTCCATGAGTATTATTTGCAGCGTGTTCAATAGCTCCAGTGCAGCGTCCAAATTGTTATCTGTGGAGAAAGGCTGCTGTATTGTTGTCTTGAATCTCTAGTAAATTTGGTTTCGTTTTGTTTTGCCAGACATTGTCATCACTCTAGATTGACTTCTGCAAGGAACAATAAAAACTGAGGGCTCTCAGTTCGAATTGAGCACTCGCATTCAGATTATCCGGAGTTTTTCCTCATAGAAACACACGGAGTCGCGCAGAGACCAGGGCAGCAGCTCAAAATAACTGCAAGTTTGAATAAATCGAGTTTGAATTATCGAGTTTTTACTGTGTGTGTGTGTGCGTGTGTGCGTGTGTGTGTGTGTGTGTGTTTGTGTACGGATAGATAGAGAAGAGAGAGAAAGAGAAATGTGTAATAGCAAGTCGGATTTTTGCCCCCTCCGGCAAAAGGAAAACTCTCCGCCTGTGCATTCTACTTTTCTGTTTTTGACCCTTGTACAGAATATCGGGTCTCCTTGCCTTTGCCGTACATAATTTTATGATTGAGATAATGATAGCCGAATGACATTCCGCGAGATGTCGGAACACATGGCATCGTGAACCTCTGGAATTCCGCTTGTCCGTGTTATGTGAAAATCGACACTGCACACGTTAACTGTCCCGCAGGGGCCTCATCGGGCATCGGGCAGGCGACTGCGGTGCACTTTGCATCTCTGGGCAGCTGGCTTGCGCTCAACGGCCGCCGGAAAGATGCCCTGGACCAAGTTGCCCACCTGTGCCACGACAAGGGTGTCCCAAAGGACAAGGTGCGTTTTTGTTGGGGCCACTGTAAAGACTGAAGGCCCCACTAATGATGATAGTCACAGCACTAGCAGAGGCAGTTTGGTTAGTTGGTGCGAATTCATATTTTAAGAAAGCGTATTGTCCTGTCCCCTTCATTTTCCCATGTCATGGTTTTTTAGAAGCGAAGCATCTCCTACTTGGGGCTATGTCCTGCGGCGTCGGTGGCGTCTGCACTCACACTTCGCATGCGCAATTCACCTCCTTCTCTCTCTCTAGCAGCTGCACATTACTCTCTCCACTTCTCTCCTACCGCCTGCTTGCACTCACTCCCCCTTCTCTCTCCTCTAGGCATCCCTCCCAGCAGCATTAACACCCCCATCGCACATGTGTGTCTCCACTCCTCTCCTATGCTCCCCCTCTCGCCTCACAACGCCGACGCAGGCAGCATCTGCTAGCGAGTTTCTTAATTGAAAAAACCGACTGCTTGCACTGCACAGCCATTCACTGGCCACCCCGAATATGTAGACACTGGATCTTGACCTCCAAGGTAGGGCCGGTGGGAGATTTCTCCTGTGCATTGTTGAACAATAAAAGTTCACAGCATGCTTGTTAGCTAAAAGTGGACTGTGGGTCTCTGTGTCCAATCAGAGTCTTCTGTATCTCACTGTCCATTAGCAGCCATTGACATGTTCCAGTGGGAAACACCTGTCTATCACTGTGTGCTTTGTACCTCCCCAGGTTCCTCTTTTGCGCGACGCCGCGATGAGCGCCAGCGTCAATGTTGCCGTCAGTGTAAGCATTAGTGCCCACTGCTTCGCATCTACACATGGTTTCCTTTAGAGGGAGGTGGCGTAATCTATTTAGCTTTCTCCAAATATGAACCTTGGTGACTGGATGATGAGAAGCTCAAAAATATCTTCTAGCAATGTCAGGCATAGTCAACCCTGTTTTCTCTTACTATCCACTGTTTGTCAAAATGTCATGAAATATGTCATGACGAAAAGACCTTTCAAACTTCCGATGCCATTGCTAATGCTTTCAGTCAGTACTTTTCCAGTATCAGCGCTAAATCCAGCCAATCATGTCTCAACGACAAACAGCGTCCATTGCAATCTATCTTTTTCCAACCTGCCCAGCTCAAGTCCGGACAGGTTGGAAAAACCTATTTTAAGTTAAGTTTGGAAACAACTAGCACTGGACTTGACAACATATCTGCCAGATGCATGAAGGACATTGTTGATGTCATCGCCCCTATTTTCGCCCATATCGTTAACTTAATCTTTAAGCACTCTATCTTTCTTTCTGAATTAAAAAAAAAAAGCAAAAGAGTGCCTGTTCACAAGAAAGGTGATAAGTCACTCATAAACTATTTTAGGCCCATCGCTATTATTCCTTTTTTCAGTAAGGTTGCTGAAAAATTATATTTCGTCTGCCTTACAAAATACCTCGAAAAATTACAGCTCTTGTCGCCCCATCAATTTGGGTTTCGTCAAGGGCTTTCCACCAATCCAACACTAGTTGCTCTTACTGAAAATATCAGAAAAACAATTGGTGATACAAAATTCCTTGGATCATTCTTCCTTGACTTCAGTCAAGCCTTTGATTCTATCGATTATGCTATTCTTTTAAACAAGCTCTCTTCCTATGGTATATCTAGTGACTTACTGAATCGTACACAAGTTGTATACATTTCAGGCGTACTCTCAGGCTCCAAAACTACCAATATAGGGGTCCCACAAGGATCACTATTAGGTCCTCTTCTGTTTCTCGTTTACATAAATAACCTGACAGACTGTTTATTCCCTCACACAGAATCCTTGCTTTTTGCAGACGACACCACCAAATTTAGTGCTTACTACTCCATTCCTGCCCTAACCTCCCAGCTTAACAGTGATCTTCAGAATGTCATTAATTGGTGCCTAACAAGAAGCTTGTTATTAATTCCTATAAGACAAAATTTGTCATTTTCAGTTCTAGGTCAAAAAAGCGAGATAACGCACTCCCGGTGTATGTTAATAACCATGAAATATTTCCTTCTGAAAAGTGCACGTTCCTCGGTGTAGAACTTGATTGTTTTTTGAACTTCAACCATCATATTGAGTTAATGAAAATAAATACCGCCTATGGGATTCGTGTTCTGCTCAAAGCCCGCCAATTTTTTGCACTTCCTACACTATCTGCTCTCTATTTTGCCTTCCTTCATAGTCACTTAAACTACTGTATTGAATCTTGTGGACTCACGTATAGAACTTATGTAAGCCCATTAGCACATATTCAAAAATAGGCTCTCTGCATAATAACGCACAGTGATTATCATGCCCATTCAGCTCCACTATTTTCTTCACTAAGTATTCTTCCTATTGCAAATATGATCGTCTCTAACTTAGCTGCAATTGCCTACCGCCTTGTACATAATCCAGATATTTTATCTATTGAAGGCAATAAAATGACCACTTCCTCAAGTAAGACACGTTTCTCCTTTCAAAACAATATCTTATTGCCCAAGGCGCGCACAAATTACGGAATAAGAACAGTGAGCTTCTCCGCTATCAAAGTATGGAACACTCTGCCTTTAGAGACTAAAACCTCTCCCTCATTAAATGTCCTTAAACATTCAATTTGCCTTTACCTGAATCCTTCTTTAAACTTCTGACTTATGTGTAGTTACTGTCGTTGCCTTTTTTTTGTCATATACTTTCATGTTTTTTTATTTCTATTAATTTCATTTTCTTCTGAAATATTTGTTAGTGTTTATTCCTAGCGATTGCTTTGTTTGCACTGTATTAGCATCACTTTTTTAATTGTCTTTTCTGTGTACTTCAATGTCAAATACTCTCGCACACCATAATGCCTCTTTTATTACTTTGTACCCTCACACTTCTTTTACGCGATCCTGCTCCTGTTTTTATTTTTTCTTTGTGTGTTTTATAACAAGAGGTCTTATTGCAGTGTTTACACTAAGGGACCTCTTTTTGTATACCTCTGCCTATATGTAACTATCCACTCAATTACGTTCAATAAACTAAACTAAACATAGATAGGGTTGCCACCTGTCCAGTTTAAGAGTTGCCCGGCTGGTTTCTCAGATAGCGGGCCGGTTGCCAATGCCCACCTGAGACTTGCCATGCATGGCTGGTATTTTGTCACAATATTGTAATATTTTTATCTTCTGGTGCATTTTATAAATATCAGTTCAACTGTGACGGTGGTATTTGTCATCAATCACCAAAACTCTTATGGTATAAGTCAGCCCCTTTGTAAGATCTCTTCAATTGTAGAGATAATTTGAATAGAGCATGTAACTATGCGTTCGTATATATGAATGTCCAATATTTTTGTGGAATATATAGTTAAATACCATTATAAGAGACATGTATCGGGCGGAAATTCCTGTGTTTTATATGAGGTCTCGCTTATAAGCAGGGTGCCACCTATGAATTTTCTTATCAGCCCATAATTTACTGTAGGCACAGTGGTGTCTCTTATACCCATTTGTCTCTTGTGTCAGTCTTTCTTATAAAGGGGTTTGACTTTACACCATGTGCATTTTAGTGTTTGTGTCTACAATTTCACTGGCCTGGTTAAGGTAGATGCAAAGAGGAGCTTTCTAGGCTGAGTAGGTGTAGTTCATTTTCAGTGCAGCACACTTGGGACAATAAGCAAAACCTCACTTACAATCAGTAGAAGCGTCGTTCCAATCCCAAGTATTTTCAAACAACAATCTATGCTTTTTCATGATGGTATAGCCCATGTGCCACCACCGCTAGCGGTAAAGTTGTGAAGCATCTCTTCATCCCTGAGGCTTTCGTAAAATCTTGCCAAAACAGATGAGGGCAGCACGGGAAAATGTGAAACGTGTATTAGACAGTGTTAGCTCAGTTTTGTGTATTTATGTGTGTATACATAAGCTACGTGTCCATTCAGCATACTGGCTCTCCATTGAGTACTATACCTCGACTTACTTCATCATCTCGGTCACTTCTAATGCCGTGGTTCGAGTTCTTTTAGAGGTATGGGTAAGTAGATCGACCAAAAAAGTGATTTTTTGATTTCATCACTAAACAATAATGCACAGTCTTACAAGCAAAATCATGCATTGGCAAGTGCGTTGGAGTACTGCAAGGCCTTTAAAAATGGTGCCAGAGATCGCGTCTCCCAACAGATATGCGAGCTCTTCACCATCATTCTTTCTGTGTGTGTGCATCTTTTAAACAATAATTATGGCATGATCGACTGAATATATTCCCTTCCTACCATTTTCATGCTTTTGGTTGCAAATTTCCCTACAAAAATATCTTTTTAGCGGAATCATGGCTACATATTGTGACCAAGTTTCACAGGCATTCCTAAGCATAAAAGTGAATTTTTCTAATGATCAGTTTTTTAACTTGATGTATCTTTCCTGACAAACTATTCAACTACTTGCGCTCAAATTTTGTAAGATTATACAATCTGAACCTAAAACTTTGAAGAATAGCTTAGGTTCACAATATTTTTGTTACTGAGACAAATATGAGAGCTTGTTGTTGTAGGTTCGGATGAATACCGTATTTACTCGATTCTACCGCGCCCTCGATTGTAACGCGCACCCGATTTCCACCGCGAAAAAAAAAAAAAAAAAAACGTAAGACATCGATTGCAACGCGCACCCATTTTTTCTCGCTGGCCCGCATGATCACACCACTGGAAAAAACGACTCCTTTCGGGAGCGTCTTCCATTTAAATATGAGGTACGGGCGAAGCTTGTGCCCATCTGACGTGTAACAGAGCATTGCCGTCACTGTAGCTTTACCGTGGACCGATGTCAGCACGCGAACTTGCTTCGCCCCCTTCTTCTCGACGGTTGTGGTGCCAGGCATGTCGAAGTAAAGAGGCGTCTGATCGGCATTCCCAATTTGCCCAAGCAGGTAGTCGTTGTTGCGCCGCAAGTTTAGGACGAACCTCTGAAAACTGTGAAGCTTTTCATCGTACTCCTCCGCAAAACTTTTCGCATATGCATGTTCCCCTTCGGAGGGAAAAGCCTTTCCTCTTCATAAAGTTAGTTAGCCAGCACATACTCGCCGAGCAGCTCTTTAATTTGCGGAAACCGACCCTGCTGTGGTCCACTGAAGTCTTTGCGTAAAGCTTTGCTGTCGAAAATCTTCTGCTTTTGTTTCCGCCGGTCCCGCACGCACGTTTCGGGAACTCCGAACGACCGCGATGCGGCCCGATTTCCGTCCGTTTCTGCACACGCGATGACTTTTCTTTTAAAAGCGGCATCGTGGTGCACTCAAGTTTTTGGAGTCGGCCATTCCACGCCGTCGATGCTAATGCACTACTAGATGACGAACTCCTCAGCACACGTACGAAGTGCCGCACATGAGAAAAACATAGGCAGAAATGGACGACGCGCCATGCCGACGCACGTAGGGGGCGGCCATTTTAGTTTGCCGATGGCAATAGATTAGCCGTAATTTTTTTGTTCGTACTCGATACTAACGCGCATGCGATTTATGAACTCGCTTAACCGGAAAAAAGGTGCGCGTTAGATTCGAGTAAATACGGTACCACTATCATGTTAAATAAGCATGCCAAATATCACGGCCGTACTGTTTGTTCGTGGTTTTTTTCAGGAAAGGTACAATGAAATTGTTCACTGGTTCGAATTTTGGCACTCCACCAGAAGCAAGTAAAAAAGTGATAGGGTCATAATTTAATTGACCGAAGGCCATTAGCTTTCTTATTAAGCACAACCAGGTTGCGGGATCGAATCTGTGCTGCGGCGGCTGCATTTTTGGTGAAGGCGGAAATGTTGTAGGCCCGTGTGGTCTGACTTGGGTGGACGTTAAAGAACCCCAGGTGGTCGAAATTTCCGGAGCCTTTCACTACGGTGTCTCTCATAATCATATGGCGATTTTGGGACGCAAAACCCCACATATCAATTTTTATTAAGCACGCAAAATTTTAGGACAAAATATGGCACAGTTCCGGAGATACATCGCTGAAACTGAAATAACCTGTTTATCACACCATACCCCTTTAATACAGCAGCTATAAACGTACACTTTTGATTTCCTGCTCACATTTCCGTCAACTGTACTGGTAATGTCACTTTTAGTCAGCCAGTGAAAAGTCTCTGTTATTAATGAAACGTGGCGGCGTAGCGATGTTTGCTGAGTCTTAGTTGACCGAGGTTTACAGCATCATACCATCTCAATTTTTCTAGTTTGACAAGTTGTGTCGCACTGTCTGACCACACACACGATATGCATAGTGAGGACTAAGCCACCCAAAACACGTTGTAGAAGGCTACGTAACAAAAGCAGTATGAAAAACATTGGGACGCTGAGCCGAGCGAGTGAAGTCAACATGTGACGAAGCCTGGATGTACTTGAAAGCAGAACTGAGCAGATTACTGGCTGTACTTTCAGAGTATAGAGAGCTCAGAGCAGTTAAATTCCTGTGTTATTATTTCACTGGGACTCTATAAATAATCTAATTTTAGAGCAAAAAAAAAAGCTAATGCTCAGTTTATTTCTCTTACCACGACCTTTCACTGACGTCGCATGTTAGTGCCCATGGCAGCCAGTAGGCCTCATGGTCATTTAGTAGTCGAAAAAACCGATTTAAAATGAGCATCAATAATGATAAACTGAATATTGCACCAAAATATATTGGAATCAGCATGTCTAATTGTTATTGAAGCAGGGAAGATTACAACCGGGCAGCTTCATTTTCATTTCACAACTTTTTGAAATGGCATAATATGCCAAAAGCTTTGCGGGGCATCTACTAGTATAAGTACTGCCCCCCTTTCCTCATAACAGCGCAACACAGAATCGGAAATTAGGACAGCTATAGACGATTTCCCGTACTGGCGCACGAGCGTTATCATGTTTTATCTCATGACCATAACTGGCCTTCTCACAGCCAGTTGCCCCAGCCAACGCATTGAGCCAGCGAAGCAGCCACGGCCATTCATAGCGAGTATAAGGGTATAGAAGCCAACATGTCAGCATTCATGTAGATGAGACCACCCACTTTGATTTGAACTCGCGTTTGCTACTCACCTACTGCCTTGACAGCAATAAATAAATGGTGAAATCAGCTGTCACTAGAATGATCTCACCCCGGGGACAAAGCATCAAGTATATTCTGCCTTCATTGCTGAGATTAGTGGTGTTTATTTAGCCATACCTGCTAAGCCTTATCTGCAACAATTTCAGAAGGAATCTTGAAAACACGAAAAAATACCGATGAGTAGATTGCTCTCAAAGCTGGAGGACATTAATGGAAAGCAAATACTAAATGGGTTGGTTGCGAACTTAGAAGGGGGGCAGCGCAGAACAACGTCGCTATAAGTTTGAGGTGGAAGGAAACTGCATCTACAGATGCCACCATGTCGACTTTCTTGGCACTGCCACCTGCTCGCTTTTACTCTCGTGTGTTGACACGTGGTAACGGGACCCTCACGGTTTAGTGGCGTCATCTAGTTTGGATTGGACAAACCGGCCGAGGAAAATCGTCCACAACGTTGCATCGGCCTTGTGCCTTTGTTTGAATTCTTCACTCCAAGTTCACCTTCGAAGCTCTGGCTGGCCTAATCTTGCCTGTTTAAGAAAGTCCATGTTTTCTCCTCAAACAAGTGGGATGAAAAGCAGAGAAAGTTAGACTGCGTGCTTTGCTACCCAACACGTTGAGAGGAGAACGTGGCATGACAGATTTCCTAATGGCGAAAGATTTGTGTAATTCTCATACCTACATCTACAATAATAAATGCCACTGTTTGTCACTTCATGTCCCTTTGCGCACATTTTGACGCATTCACAACGCACGTAGTTTCATGCGCATTCATGGTCACACACTGGCATTTAACTCATCACCATTACCTCAAGCCATAGAACATTGAAATGGTCTTCCAGGTCACATCGTATCAATCTCCAACCGTGAATATTTTCGTGATAACCTGATTTAGTTGCGTTGTTTTGTTGTATAACTTTGTTGATCTTGCTGTTTCTCACTTGTTTGTTTTTTTTCTTGTTCTTTTTATCTTTTGTCTATATTGGTTTGCAATGTACTTATTGATGCTCCCCTTACTCAATGCCCTTTAATGGGCCTGTAAGGCATTTTGAATTAAAAAGAAAGTATGACAAGGAATCTGGTACATGATGCAATATACCTTCAGTGGATGCCTGGGGGTGTTAGTATGGCATCTAGGAAACAAAACAGCACAAAAGATGGAGCTCTAGAAAGAGAGGGGACAGAAACAGCAGCGCTATTTTTGTGCACCCCTTTTTTCTTGTGCTTTGTCTTTTGTGCTGTTCCGTTTCGGACAATATAACTTAATAATTATTTTTCATGTTATTTGTAGTTCACAGATTTTGTCAGAATTTTAGTTTGTGTGGCTTTTGGTACCTCACTCAGAATCGCAACTTTGCTGCTCAGCTGAAGGACCTCTGTTCAGTTCTTGGTTATGGTGGCCATCTTTCGATGGTGACAAAATGTGGAAACTCTTTTCGGTTCAGGCTAGAGAAATCCATGTGGTGAAAATCATTCCGTAGTCCTCCACTGAAGTATGCCTCATAATCATGACTGTTATGGTGTGTAGAGCATCTGTCACTGTGGTGTAATGGTTACGGTGCTCGGCTGCTGATACGAGGGTTGGGGTTCGATTCCGGTTGTAAAGGTCGCGTTTTGATAGAAGTTAAAAACTAGAAGCCTGTGCACTGTGCGATGTTGGTGCACAATAAAGAGCACCGGATGGTCCCAATTTCTGGAGCCCTCTGCAATGGCGCTTTTCGTAAATATATTATGGTATTGGGACATAAAATCTCGGATAATATTATTGGCATGCTGTACAGTAGAAATAATTGCCATGTCTGATTACACACAGAAGCATGCGGTTGTGTCCTCTACTTGAAGAGGGGATATTAGAATGAAATGTGAATGATCTATTAAAGAGGCTATTTGATTTTCTTTATATTTTGTTTGATGTTTTGTCTTCCTGTTAGAGCTATCCTTAAAATTACATTGTTCTGTTGAAGCAGGATAAAAATAATGGCCATGGTATCAGGTGGTTGAAGGCCTCTCATGCTCCATTTGTTTGTGTCTAGTTGTGTTTAACCATCTCACTACCGTGAAAATTGAAGGAAACTTGAGCAGATTTACTGACAATTTTTTTTGCACATTGTGGAGCTTTTATTTTTTCTTCAGTAAACTAATAGTGCCATTATTTTAGTCTAGTAAAGTTTCTTTATTTCACTAATATAGTTTTAAAGAAGGGTAGCTCAGTGACGGCTTTTTTTGCATTGAAAACAATAAAAGATGGTGATAAATCATTAGCTGAGACCGAGATTGTGTAATATGGGTACGTGTGGCCATATAGTGACAAGAAACATAACTAGACAAGTATGGTATAGTCGTAGTATACTTGCGGTTTTTGTTGATGACAAGTATAGTCTTTGACAAATTTTCTAAAAAGAAATCTCGTGACAACTACACTTGTCTACAGGAGAGAAAAGGCTAATACCCTATGTGGCTATATTTTGTTCATTTTAGCTTTTCATGTATTGTGCAAGAAACGTGCACACTGCTAGCATGTGGGCTGCATGAAGGCTGTGCCATTTTCATCATTAGTCCTAATTGCAGGTCCTGGTGGTGGTGGGTGATGTCTGCAAGGAAGACGACGTCGTTGCCATCGTGAACGAGACACTGAAACACTTTGGCAAGATCGACATCCTTGTGAGTCTGTGCTGCTATTTTGTAATGCAAAGGTTGGAACGCTAGGCTGGTTCACTCTCATTCTCCTCCTTTTTCTCGAAATTTGAGTGCCATGAAAACAGCAGTGTGGAACTTCGCTAGAAACAGTATGTGGTAGAATTATGTAGTAAAGTCCCATAAATATAACGAAATTAGCGCCATATAGTCAATGTAAAGTCGCCTTCTTTCTAGTGCGCTTCGTAGATGGCTAGTGAAGTTGGTTTAGGTGCGAACCTCTCGGAACATGGCAAAAGAGGAGCCTGTCTAAATCTTCTGCTCGTGTGGCTGAGGGCACTGTGGTTTTGGGCAGCACAGTGGGAAAGGTCATGAAATGAATGGTGTGAAAAAATAACAATAAATATGACAATGTAATGCATAAAGATGAAAGGGACATATTTTGATGATGTTTGGAACAGTAAAAATGTACAACTGGGAGTATATGGCAGCACCAGTGCTAATTCAGCAGTGTTAAGGAATCACTGGTTTTCAAGTGTCATGCAGTGGTTCTTTAGAAGGCCACGCAAGTGTCATATTGTTTGTGTGTTTGACAGCACTTGAGTCTGTCTGTATGGTGCCTGAGCATGCTTCCGTATTTTGACCAGCTGTGCCAGCGGTGGCAAAAGACGCAAGAGCAAAAAGAAGCAGTGCTCACTACAGCGGTAAAAAGCCGTAGTTTCTTGGTGGCCACCTTAGCGATGCTGCTGCAAAGACAAAAGGACTTAGCACTGCATTTCTTAATATTTAGAAACATTGCCGGTATGCGGCTGTTGGTGGCACCCCGTTAAGTGCAGCATACTTTGTGCTTGGTTGGTCTGGCAGCCTAGCCGGGGTCAGCAGAAATAAAAACGAGAAATGTCTTCTTGGCAACCCATCTAACGGGCTCCTTACTGTAACTTTTCCTTAGACAAACCTGAAAAGCATCAGAACACATGTATCAACCATCAACCCAGTTTACGAAATTACCTGTCACAAACCTGTTGTAACTCCTAGTTCGCGATAGAGTCCAGAGATGGCTTCTTTCGGTTTTTCTCGTGCAGTGTCGTGCAATATTCATTCATTTTAGCACACACCCGCTAAGTTGAATGCTTCTTGATTTGAACAAATTTGTGGCCCCCTTCAAGTTTGAATTAACGAGTTTTTACTGTACTGTTTACCTAATTATATAAAAATAGTCCCAGGAGGAACCGTATTTCCGGGTAATGGACATCAAAACTGGTATCATGGCAACTTCTGTGCTGTAATTTAGCTTGACAGGATGTGTTTCTATATTTTCAATTTTCGGAAGAGAACAAATTGTGCTCTTAGTCAAGTGCTATCGCTACAGGCAGTGCCATTGGGTTCGGTCATGCAATGTGTGCATATCTTATAATACAAAAACTGTAGCATGCATCTCATTTAGGAATACCAATCAATATGTAGCCTGTAGAACTAGTTTATGCAATAGAATGGAAATACTAATGCTAAACATTTATTGTCAAGCAGCCTTTATCTAATCACTGTACAACGCACTGTGTCTGATGTGCAATATTTTCTAGAATGGCTCTGAAATCATCAGGATAAGATACTATGAGACACTTAGAGTGACTACTTTGCCTTTCTATGCGTGGGAATATCTTATATTCTTTTAAATGATTCTATTTGTGCTCTTTGAAATGTGAAATCCTGTGACATTTGCTTCGGGTGAAAAAAATATTCTTGCTTCCTGATTGCAGGGACCATTGTGGAATGATCATGCATTGTGAATCATGCATCAGCATCAGAATCATGCATTGCGCCTCTTTCGAAATGTATTGAGCACATGAAATCAGCTTTTACATAAACATTTTTTTCCAGATCAGTCTGAAGTGGCATGTTGGCTGACTGTTGTCGACGCTCTGTTTGTACAATGCAGCATGCAGCATGTACGATCACATTTGAAGCCTTCAAGTTTGGTCACTTCATCCCAACTGCCGCAATTTGGAAGAAGGGGGCGGGGGGAGATTATAACGACTCGAAGAAAAAAAAAATCTAACGCTTCCTTGGAGCGCCGCTGTCCCGCAGCTACTCCGATACTCTTTGAAAAAATTATGCGGGTGGCCGCAAGGTGCCGTGACAGTCTACGAAACTTGCGAATAAGAGACATGTACCGGAAAGCAATTCTGTTTTCTAAATGAAGTGTCTCTTACAAGCAGGGTGTGCATTCTCTTCTCAAGCCCCACTTCAATGTAGGCACCTTTTTCATTTCTGCCTTGGGAATTTCGGCTTTAGTATAAAAAAACTTATTTATCAGCATTTGCTGAGCTTGCTAAAAGGTGTCTTCATAAACAGGAAATTCTCACCTTCGAAAAATGGTGTCGGCTACCTTATAATCTTATAAATCTTATAATCTTATAAATGATTATATTTGTGCTCTTTGAAATGCGAAATCCTGTGACATTTGCTTGGGGTTAAAAAAATATTCTTGCTTCCTGATTGCGGGGACAATTGTGGAATGATCATGCATTGCGAATCTTGCATCAGCATCAGAATCATGCATTGCGCCTCTTTCGAAATGTATTCAGCACATGAAATCAGCTTTTACATAAACATTTCTTTCCAGATCAGTCTGAAGTGGCATGTTGTTGATGCCATCTTATAGAATAACTTGCGTCACCATTTGGCATGAGTGTAGTAATGCTGGCTCCGATGCCAGGCTGTTGATGAAAAATCAGCTTGAAATCCAAGTGTAGACTAAAGATTTTTGAGTAGTGATACATGATCGTTCATTGTAAGTTGCCATTTTTGTTTTATAATTGGCTCAAGGCTGTACAGGCTTTCTGGTTTAATTAAAGATAATGCATTTAAAAAAAAAAATGCGCTTCTCTCTATCCGAAATACATGCGGCAGATTCTTGATCATAGCAAGGGCCAGGATTTGAGTGCTGACTATTAAAGTTTCTTTAATGGAGCTTCAGGGTTGAAATAATGATGTCTCTTGGGCTCATAGAAATGTATAGGTGCTAGCCAGGGCCGACTTTTTAGGTTAAGTATCAGTAAGCCGGAAGGTGATGTGAACTTGAGTTGAAAAGTTTACTGGATCAGAGAGCGCATATAATGGATTTCTTGAATATTGTTTCTAATTCTATGCAGAGAGTTGTGTAGAAAAGTTGGCGGCACGGGCAGTGTGAGTGCTCGTGCCTTTTTTATCGGCAGTCTCGTCTTACCAAGATGTGTGCACGATGCAAATAATATTATGCATTCTTGAACGTATGTCAGCAGCAGTAGTTAGCCAGCAATGCACAGCATGACCTATTCTTAATGGAAGGTTATAATTCTTGAGATGCTATTATAAGTAATGATGGTTCTTCACCTCTGCTTAGCGAGATTTCGCAGAAGTGATTTGCTGCACAAGAGCCTGGCAAGTTAAGCTTCACGGAGCTCTTCATCAGCTTACACTCTTCTCTCAGTGTTTTTGCCACATGGGGTGCCTAGAAGTTTATGGCAAGAAATGAAGGATATAAATGCCTAATAATGAAGGAAGCAGTACTCAAACAGTACTTGAGACAGGAAATTTTTATCGACTTTCTCAGTTGTTGTCTTCTTAAACGGGCCCTGCAGCACTTTTTGAACATGGTCAGAAAATGTTGCTGATCAGTAGTTGAGGCTCCCGTGAACACGCTAGCCAAACGTTATATCACGGCATGTGGCCTAGAATTAACAGTTAATTCTCAAAGTCAGCTGGAAACTCTTCCCTTTTATTTCTACAAGTAATGCCAAATACTCACGTTCACGGTAATTGGCTTAATTGAGCATGCACAGTCAACGTAGTAGTTGGCCAGTGGCCTCTTGCTGCACCACAGTTGCATTGTAGAATGCATGCACAATGTAGTCCATTCTATACCCTTGTCACAGAGTCAAGCGTATATTGGCCAGACTGGCAGGTCTTTGAACACAACACTCAAGAAGCACAATAGTAAAGTCAACAGAGCTGTTTCTGGTCATCTACGGTCGCATTGCCAAGGTTGTGAATGCGTTCCACACTGTCCAGGTATGACAGTGTTTAGTTGCTCATCAGGCAAAATGGCTAGATTAATAATCGAAGCCGCACGCATAGAAAAACAGGATAGCATACATGTAAGCATGTGTCAGCAGCACTTACCCAGACAAAAAAGGCAGTTCCTAGATTTGTATAGTTACACGAGTAACCGATTGTCATGAGGGGACGACCTGCATGAGATTGTTGAACAGCTATTTATTTTCGTGAGTATGCTACATATTTTATGCACTGCAGCAAATAAAACTTGTCTGCAAGTCGGCGCTCAAGTGTGCCCTTCCATCCCTGTCTTCTGGGGCTGTTTTTCGTTACAGTGCTAATAAACCAATTTGCCCTCCAACAAGCATCAACAATGCTGTGAGATGCCACCGTGTGCCCCCACGTGCGTGATCGCACTGGAGCTTAATCTTGCATTCGAAGAAAAACGAGAAAAGAAAGTGCTCAAGATCATGATGTGCACTGACAAAGGGATGCATCTTCTGCCTTGTCATGCCCCCTCCTTACGTAGCTCGAAAGGAGAGAGAAAGCACTTGAAGCATGTGAAAAATACCTATAATTCTGCTCCTACCTTATGGATTTAAAAAATTTTTGCGTCATGTTGTTTGTGAGGCATGATGCACTGATAGTTAGACCATTTCATTAAAACCCAGAAAGGTGTTGCAGGGCCCTTTAGATGCACCAGATGCTCCCCAAGTGGAGTGACTGGTTTTGAGGTTAGAATTCTGCCGATTCAGAGTCGAACGTGTTCACAATGAGAAGCACTGTGACCTCTGAGACCACTTTGAACACTTTTATGCATTGTATAACATTGCATTGTGTGCCCTGTGTGTTGCAGGTGAACAGTGCTGGCATTCTCAAGAACGGCACTACGGAGAACACACCACTGTCGGTTTATGATGAGATAATGAATGTGAATCTCCGCAGCATCTTCCACATGATGCAGCTCGCCATCCCACATCTCAAGAAGACCAAGGGTGTGTATGGGAAGCCTGTATTTATTGATTTGAGGAATTGCATGTTGCTTTCACACTTGCAAATATTATGCAGTAAATTTGTGCAGTTGTCAGTTATGCATACATTCGAGCCCATTTATAATTATCCCAGCTAGAACTATCGGTCCATTGTAAGGAGCATACTTAAGAGCAATTATGATTTTCCTATGCTACCCATCGAAACTGCATCCACATGTAGCAAACATTTTTTCGAACCTCCTTACTTTTAGAACGAGCACTTCAAACGGAGTTGTGGTAGAAAAAAGAAAAATGTTGAATCAGGCCTTTTAATACGTGAAAGAGGCCCGGATTCACAGGCCCCCCCACTACAGTTTACTTGTGATGAAGATATTGCTCAATGGGGAGCACGTCACACAGATTTCGAATGCTGCGAGATAGGTCACCTACTTTGAGGAGGAGAAGAGGCTGGGGAGAGGAAAGAGTCTAACTTCCGCAGTCCTAGTTGCGAGAACAGCCCATCGCCATGCTCACTGTCCAGGTGTTTCTTCAGTGGCAGAGTGAAGGTGAACAAATAAAAAGACAAGGCAGTATGAGGCGTTGCTGTCAGCTGTGCATTTAATGGAATTCCTTCTGCCTGCTCTAAAACTGTCTCAAAAGCAAGAATTTCGAACCCCGTTTGAGCTGCAGTGAAGAAAGAAGGCGAAGCAATTGACATGAATATCTAAGCAGTTTCAGCAATGCCAAGACAGTAAAAAATATGCAGAACACATAAACATGCCCAAGCACATTTATTCTATGTGCCTTTAAAATGATCGCACTATTGAAGGTAGTCCTACACGAGGTGGCCGAGATCGACGGCGCAGTATACCTTTGTTGTTGCCAGTTAACAGGGTGCAGTACACTTGATGCTTGTTGTGTTTCAGCCATTGCAAATCATTTGATTTCAGTGCCAAGTTGAAGAAAGCTAAAATATCTCGATTTCACACGCAGCTAACCACGCAAAAATATTATTTGCCTGAAAGCAGACACTAGCTTGGTTAGCTGCTTGCTACATCACGGCTCGCAAGTGAGCCGATTTTGACCGACTCTCAGGCTGCTGTTGTGTGTATAAAAATATTCAATACTTAGTTATGTGCTCAACCAAATTAGCTAAAGTTTCCCTTGCGTATTTGTGAATACATGAGGATTAACCCACATAAAGTAGATTGTGACCAAAAATTGGGTGTCATGTCCCCTGAAGCACCATAATTAGTGCTGTAGCGTAACCTCAAGCTGGTGTCAGTGTTGGTTGTTATGGGGCGTGTGATGTCATGTGCCAAAAGGAGTGGTTATAACGGAGTATAGTCGAACACCATTATTCGCAAGTTTTGTCGCCTATAGGGGGCGCATAGGGTGGTTCAATATGGCGCCGACAGAGAGTATTGGAGTCGCTGAGCACACGTGCGGCCTGCACTTTTTTTTTTTGCTTCGCGATTGCTCTACCTTTTTTCAGTCGGATATTATGCGCCACCTTGATGCTTCGGAAACTCGGATACAATGCCTCATTGAAGGCGAAGAGGTCCTGAATGTCAAGCACAGCACTTGTTGCAGCGTGAAAGCCTGTAGTCCATCTGCCGATGTGCAAGAACTCTGCCTACAGACGTCTTATGTCTGCCAGAAGCCACACGAAGTAGAATTCACATATGACTGGGAAGGTTCCGCATAGGAATGTTAGCTTGCTTTTCGTCTTCGCGCTAATCGTGCCAGTCCGCAAAACGTGCCTTTCTTGCACTAACTTTCGGCAACACAAGTAATCTTACTGTTCTTCAATGCTCCTACGTGTGTGGCACGGTAAAGTGTTGGTTACGATGTTCTGCTCAACGTTTCTAGAAACGTTGGTTCTGCTCTCACCCGAGCGTAGGGTGTTCGATGCCGGCCGCGGCGGTTGCTTCACAAACTGTTACGCATTTCTAAAGTATAACCTAAGCTGTCAGTTCCCACTGCGCTGACCACAACTGTGCAGCTCGAGCTCATTCAAGTGATGGCATATGGGTAACGAGATGTAACAGCGACCATAAACTGGGGCTTGACACAAGCAAAACCATAAGAAATGTTATATAACGACCACAGCAATGTTAGGGCTGCTGCAACACGCTGTCGAAAGCTCTACTTCATTTTTTTTTAATGAACGCCGCAATTGTCTTCATAAAAATAATGAAAGCATGGACACAAATCATATATTCTCTATTTCTTACCAAATGCTCCAGAAGTAGTCGGTGTTGACAAAGTGTGGGCTGCACTCTTCCATCGGCGATGTGAGTGTCTTGCCGAATCTCAATTTCACGATCCATTCTTTTTTTCTCACTGCGTCCAAGGCGTGGAGGCTGACTCTTGTTGACGCTCTGTTTGTACAATGCGGCACGCAGCACGTACGATTGCATTTGAAGCCTTCAAGTCACTTCATCCCAACTGCCGCAATTCGGAAAGCGGGAGGGGTGAGAATAACGACTTGAAGAAGAAAAAAACTCAAACGCTTCCTTGAAGCGCCGCTGCCCCGCAGCTACTCCAATACTCTTTGAAAAAATTACGCTGGTGGCCACAAGGTGGGGTGACAGTCTACGAAACTTGTGAATAAGAGACATGTACCGGAGAGCAATTCTTGTCTTCTAAATGAAGTGTCTCTTACAAGCAGGGTATGCATTCTTTTCTCAAGCCTCATTTCAGTGCAGGCACCTTTTTCATTTCTGCCGTGGGAATTTCGGCTTTACTATAAAAAAAATTATTTATCAGCATGTGCTGAGCTTGCTAAAAGGTGTTCTGGTAAACAGGAAATTCTCACCTTCCAAAAATGGTGTCGGCTACCTTATAATGTTATAAATGATTCTATTTGTGCTCTTTGAAATGCGAAATCCTGTGACATTTGCTTGGGGTGAAAAAAATATTCTTGCTTCCTGATTGCAGGGACCATTGTGAACGTCTCCAGTGTCACGGGTCTGCGAGCTGTGAGTTGGGCCAAGTTCGTACCTTTAGTAAAGACTGCAGGGAGTGAGCCATAATGAGGCCTGGGCTGTTATGGGGCAGGGATGGAGCCCAGCAACATATCTGATATGCTTTAGTTCCAATTCTTTCTAAGCAATTTTTTCTATCACTGGTTTGCAGACTGAAAGACCAACCGGAATGAGATTTCGTTCAGCATTTTCTTTCGATTGTGATTGTTAAACTGCAGAATAAAAAATACAGATTTTTCCTATGTTTCCGTCACTTTGCTCTTGGTAGTACAGTAGACTCACAGTAAATGGAGCTTGAAGGGACCACAAAAATATCTTCCAATCAACAGGAGTTCCGTCTACTGAGAGATGAGCAAGGGTGCAGAATACAAGCTTAAAACCAAACAAAGCAGCGGCATTTGTTTCGTTTAAGCAGTAGTTCCGTTTAACAGATTTCCGTTTTACTGAGAGTCTACTGTACTTTATACTGTTGCACACTGAAAACACTTATGTTTCCAGATGACACTAATCTTGAAAAGATTACTTTTACCCTTGTTGCTGCCTTTTATATGGAGCAGCATGTTCGGCATTAGTGCCTTAGTCACATGTCATTGCAGGGTCTTGATTTGAGCTAGTTGACAGAGATTCATATTTGAAGAAAATTTTGTGGCGCACACTAAAGGACAGACACAGGGGAACACAATGAATTGTAATCCTTTGTGTTCGTGGTTTACTTTAAATCTCAGTGTTTCCTTGAAATATGCCATTGCGATGAGTTCGTATGCTATTACTATGTGACACCACTTCAGAGCTTTATTGGTGCTCGAAAAGCATAGCAGTGCACCACATGCAGACTGAACAGGCGATACTGATGGCACTATGGTGTCTTGCACAGTTGTGCATTTCTGTGTTGCTGCACTGTTAGATACCTCTTTTGTTGGTCAGTGTTGAACTGTTCTGTTAAGGCGTGAAGATCTAAGACATGTGCTGGTAGATAGAAATATAACGTGTTTTGGGAATGGGGACCTCTCTCAAGATCAGATAAGTCATCATGTTATAAAAGAGATTTATTGAGCGTAGAGGTTGTTGCTAGTTAGGCAATGCACCGCCCGCAGTTCACGAGCTCTGCTGCACACTCGATGCTGCTGCCTCTGCGCCGGAGTACTTCCTCTTCTTTGCAATATGCATTTCTATTTGTAGAAAAACAAAAAAAAGATTCAAGAAATGTACTTCTCTAATGAATGAGAAGCTGGTGACTTAATTAAGAATTGGCATTAAGCAGTAGAGGCTGTTAGTGTTGCTGGATGCCTTGTTGCTCAGTCATACATAAAGATCGACATAAAGTGTGTGGTTGCAAACAAGGTTATTTTTTTCGTATCAGAACCAGTGCACTAGTCCTCTCACTAGAGTTGCCAGTTCTACTCACAATAAGCGGATATGAGCTGTTCTTTTTTTTCTTTTGCTGGGCTGCTTGTAGAGTTTTCCATTCGCTTGCCATGTTTTTGAGTCTCATTCACATTTCTTGTATCTAGTTATTTTTGTGCTAGTCACATAATTCATTAATTACAGATTTGTTTATAACTTAGTGTAATTCAGTGTCGAAACATGCGTAGGGCGAGGTTTTCCATGCACTGGCAGAATGTGCAATGAAGAGAGTTAGGACTACTGCGGAGGCTTCGTTAAAAAGGAAATATGTGCTCTCATTCTTAGTTGTATATATTTTTGAGGTAGAAACTAAAGGTATCTTTAACCTTTTCTTTGTCTTTCAGTAACTTTGATATTGTGAGTAAAATCTATTTCAGCACAAAACATGTTTATCGGAATTCAGCTTCTTTTGAACTTGTTTGCTGTGTTTCACAAATTTTTTTGGCTTTTTTTGGGATAATTACTTGCTCATTCATAAGCTCAGTGACATCTGGCAACTCTGCTTCTCGCTATCATCGTCTGTCTCATTCAGAAGTGCAGTGGCGCACTGCTTGAGTTGCGAAATGGTCACCCTAGTTTAATGGGTCCCAAGCCTTCACTGTAACACCAGTGATTGTGCAATCGATCTTAGAAATACCAGCAGTCGAAACGGTGCTTACATTCCTGGACGTTTTTTATGTCCTCGGAATTGAGCAGTGTAGGTTTGACCTCGGGCGGCATGTTGCAACTCATTATTGGTGAAACTGTGCATGAGCATGTACTAATTCAATTGGACAGGTGGACATATTGTGAACTGTTCCCCAGGAGACAGCCTTGTTTCAAGCCAAGTGTCGTGCGAATGCTAAAGTGTCATTTCATGCTTAACAAGCCAAGTGTCGCATGTCTAATCCAGACGCTGCTTCTGGTGACACAAAGATTCAAAGAAGGGTAGGAGCCACTGATATGTCACAACAGAGGCTCAGTGCTTGCAGTTTTCCACTGTTCATCACAATGTCAAGCGTTTGATTCCATGCCCATGGCAGCCAAGTTATGGTGCAGGCTAAACGTGAAAATTGACTTGATACTTCTCACTGTGATGTGTCTCAAAGCAGTGTGACAAATCAGTCATGTGTCTGATTTTATGCGTTGGAAAGTGCTTATCCCTGTTTTGTGCGTCCTGTTTTGTGCAGTTTCCCAACGTTGTTGCGTACAACATAAGCAAGGCTGGTCTGGACCAACTGACGCGTACTGCAGCTCTCGGTGAGTTGCGACTAGCTGCATCAAAGAACTGTACTGACACTTGTTTAGTAGTCCTATACTCCATCTCAGAAGTTTCCTTTAGCATTTTGAAGGCTACAGGGCCCCTTAGCCAATGAGAAGGGCAAAAATCTTTTTATGATGAGTTCGCCCGCTCTACTTCATGTGCTCAGCATCCTTGCATCTGCACTCACTTGCTGGTCAAGTAAAGTGAGCAGATGGCATTGCTGGAAAAAAATGGAACATTGCTGCACTTATTGACGCTGGTGCCCTCTGCCTCGAGTTTATTGCATTGTCGTTGTGCGCTGTGTTGCCTGTAAGTTCCATACTGATGCTTTTATTTGCTTTAGATTTAATCCTGGTGCTTCAACAGCAATATGTTTGGGGCTATATAGTGCATGGGACAATATAATATTGCGCTAGTAGATATTTTTATTAACCATTATCACATTTTTGGTGTGTTAGACTTAGTTTGCATGGCTAAGCAAACAGCTGATCTTGCAAATATCGATAAAACGCACCTGGTGCTTAGAAGTCATAATAAGGTGACACAAAGCGATGGCTCATTTCATCATTTATTTGTCGAGGTCAGTGTTGTGGACAAGTAACAAGTTCAAGTTTGGAGGGTCACGCCTGCCTTGGTGTTGACATGTTAATTTGTAACCACAGTTACCAGCACTTACTGATAGAGCAATAAAGGGCACATGCAAGTTGAAAAACGAAAGTTTTTTTCAAAATTATATATTTTTCATTTTTACTTGCTTTCATAAGTTTCGTTTCTTTACTTTCACTACCAAAAAACTTAAAATTGTGATGAAACTTGAAGTTAGTTAAAATCATTCTTAAGAGCACATGATGGCTACCATATACTAAAGAGTGCTCATTGTCTAGAGTCCCCTGGAAATTGTCACCTGGCTGCTTGCCATTGCATATTGCATGAGGAGTTCACTAAAGCTACATGCTCAAAATAAAAATGATTGCCCTTATGATGGAAGAAATCGTCTTAAAAAATGCATCATTTCTGCATAGATGAGCTGTAACTGTAAAAGTGCATTTTTCTCAAGATTTATTTTTAGGCACTGTCTTGAGATTAGACATCATGTTTTTGGCACTTCTGATAGCTAAGTCAGGATGAAATATTGTCTAAGTATTCCTATTGCTTAACATGTAAGGGGTTCATGTATCATGTATCTTGTTTAAAACTTGATATCACCTGTATAATTATTACGAAACTAAAGCAACCAATTAGCAAAATGTTAGAGGCCCATGTGCTGTGCAATCTCAGTGCACTTTAAAAAACACCAGACGGTGAGAATTTCCGGAGCCTTCCACTACGGCATTTTTCATAATCATCTCATGCTTTTGGAATGTAAGTACCCAAATATTATTATAAATTAAGCAATTAGTATGGACTCAGGATTCTAATAATTCTCACATTATAATTTTTTTGTCCATTAAAATATTCTATATGCACTTTCTTGATAGTTATTTGCATTCTATAGTTAACGAGGAGCGATATGAGCTATTGATGGCTCAGAACCATGAAAGTTTAATGGCATAAAAGATTTGTCCAAAACGTACTATATTTTACACACTGTCATGGCACAAAACGAAAACTGTGCAACTTGCCACAAAACTAATTTTGTACATACAGTAAAAGCTCGTTAATTCAGATTTCACGGGACCGAAAAAACTGTCCGAATTAACTGAATGCCGAATTAACGAATGAACAGTGAAAACAACATTTAAAATGAAGCTGCAGAAGCATACCTTTATTTGTTGAAGTATTTTGTAATTGTCGTCTGCGTTTTCGCGCAGATTCCGGCTGACATCACAATTTTTCTGAACTGTTCCAAATGGCCAACAGCACGCAAGCTGTCGGGAGTGTTCAGGCAAGCGTCCTCTAATATTAACAGCGCCTCCGAGACTTCCCGTGAGGTGCGATGAGGTCGCGGCTGTATCTCCTCGCATGATTCTTCGTCGTAATCGTGGTCTTCATGGGTGCCCGTGACATCATTAATAATCTCTTGATTGGTCAGGAGACCACTCGTGGCGACACCATGATCAATCGCGATGTAGTCCTGAAAGGTCACATCTGTGGGAAGGACAGCATCGAGAGTCGGGCAGTCATCGTCGGTGGACTCGGTCGGTGGACTCTGCCGCTTTTTCGGCGTTGCCATCACTGTAGCGCACGATGGTGGTGGCATGCAAATTTGGTCACAATGGAAGAAAAAGAGAACTCCGCAAGAAGAGATAGTTCGGACACGACAACACAAGGGAAAATGGTGTCGGAGGCGCTGAGTGGAGAAGAAAGAAGACGCCGACGTTCGGTGACGCTGCGATCGCCCCCACTAGTTGATGATGATGGCGATGCCACTCAGGTTTCGGTTTCACTCCAGTGGTGGCAGCGCTGCTTTATCACACTTTTGTGTAGCAGCAGCCGTCAGCAGTTGTCTGAATTAAGCGGTGCGGAGCCGAATTCCGATGAAATAACGAAGATTTGGTCCCATAGATCAACATGCACTTTGGCCGGGACCAGTAGAGGCGTCCGGATTATCCGAATTTCCAAATTAACGGGTGTCGAATTAACGAGCTTTTACTGTATTCGAAATCAGCATAGAAGCCTATATATAATTTTATTCCCCTGGTCTACAGATTCACGAAACTTCTTGTTCAAATCTTATCTCCCCTTAAAAGAAATACAAAGTGAATGCGGTGAAGAATAAACATATCTCGTATCGATGCGATGTAACACATGCTAAACAAATGCAAAAAGTCTTCACTGTGCAGTTTGTAAGGTAATTATTTCTGGAACTATGTTTCTCTACTCAAGCGTGTGACTTGCTTACACCCTGTGGCTTTGGTAGTGTGAACGGTAAGAGTGACTCCTAGAGACTGTAGCCACCAGTGAATGCCTTCATTCGGTATGTTGCCTTGTCCTCTGAAAACATTTACAAGAAATAGCACTTGCTTGGACCATGCCATTTTATTCCATTCAAATAATGAAATCAAATTCACCACAGCATTACAACTGTGTCTCAGGGCATGGCTGTAAAGCATACACTCATTATCCGAGTATTATTCATGCTTCATTCGTACAATGTTTTATACTTCTGTAAGGAAAAGTGTTGACTGTTGTCTTGTTTGTGGTTGCAGAAGGCTGTAACTCCACTTGCTGTGTTTTCTCACATACAACACTCATAAATAATAAAGAAAAGTGTGCTATAGGAGTAAGGGATTGGGCGATATGCAGGGGAGGGCAATATGCAAGAAGATACTATATTTAATATTAAATAGTTGCAAATACTGTTACGTGTGATAATTATGTACGATGTATTGTAACATTGATTCACGGCATGAGTACTGTATGTGCTCATGTAGTATGCATTATTTCTTTTTGTCATGCACACATGCAGTTAGAGCAGTTCTTGTAGCCTTCACAGTGTTGCCTGGTGCCCATAAAATGGAATACTGTTGCTCTTTTCATATGGGTGAAGTGTCACCGTACGTGTTTGACACTCTTTATGAAGATTTTGAGAGGTGTTTATGGAATGTGTAAATTTGATTTTTATTGAGTTCTCTATTCATTGCTTTTTTTTTTCTTTTTCAGAGCTGGCTGCTGATGGTGTCCGGGTAAATGCCGTGAAGTATGTTGAGAGTTGCTTCCGTAACACTTTATTCAGCTGGGCACCCTTTTTATTTGTCATGGGCGGGTGATCATGGCTCATGCTTTCTCTCTTGCAGCCCGGGTGTCATTGTCACAGAGGTGCACAAACGAGGTGGCATGACTGAAGCCCAGTACACACAGGTCAGTTAGAACTAGTTATTTGAATAGGTGGTTTTGCATTACAGCAAAGGCAAGGTGACTAAAAAATAAATATAACATCATGAAAGTGTTTTATAGTGGAGTTCAACACACACACACACATGCACGCACGTGCACGCACACACAAACACACACACACACACACACACACACATACATATATATATATATATATATATATATATATATATATATATATATATATATTCGTATAGGAAAGAAGACGCACGTACGAAGTTATTTTATTTGACGTTTCGGCCGTGGGTCCGGCCTTCATCAGAATACAGTTTATGGCACGAGTGCTGTTTATATACATGTGCATATCAGTAAGATACAAATGTCAAAACCGACATGAAAGGCTATATATGGGCATATATATATGCAAGTCACACAATATAAAGAGCACCTAATCTACGAGTAAAAAGATATTGCTTCCATGCGCGAGCACGTTGTTTACAAATAAAAGATGAAACGCATAAAAGATAAAGCACATAACATGAAGAGTAGTCCGACCGGTAAAAGCAAGAGAAGAAAAAAAAACTATAAAATACTAATAAAAATGACAAAGACGTTACAAAGCTGCTACGTAATCAACGGATACAGACAATGTAGTGCGACTTGCTGAGCAAGGTTGAAAAAAGTTGGACAGGGTGATACAAGTTACGCCGATAAGCAACTAAGTTTTCCTACGTTTTCATTCAGACCAGATGCGACGGCGTTGAACTTATAGATGAGGAATGATTCACGGGCTTCTCTATCATAATTTGTGCGGAAACCAGATTCTAGTAATGTGACTTGTATGTTTTCAAAAGAGTGGCCAGGGAGGCGCACGTGTCTTGAAATGGGCAAGTGGGGCAAGGTGTTAGCATGAGATTTATGGTTGTTAAAACGCAGTCTAAAAGGCCCTTCTGTTTGACCAATGTACTGTATTTCACATAGCGCACATTCTATCATGTATATCACGTTCTTAGAATCGCAGTCAAGATTGCCTTTGATTTTTAAGGAAAAGTTGGAACCAGTACTGGTGACCTGTTGGCATGTGCGCATGTAAGGGCATACTTTGCATCGCGGTTTTTGGCAAGGATGGCACCCGATCGTGTCAGGACTGTTTGCTTTCGATGATGATGACGATGAGAGTATGTCTCGAATAGTTTTAGCTTTGCGATACACTGCTTTAGGTGGTTCGGTGAAAATGTTTCTTAAGCGTTCACTTTGCATTAGAATATTGTGGTGCTTTCTCAGCACATTCGAAACACGCGGAACTGACGCTGAATGGCTAAGGACTAAGTTTGTCTGCGGTGAGGGAGTCGAGTTTTTAGCAGCGCACAACAGCGTTCTACGATTATGCATGTCGGCACGTTTTATTGCGTCATCAATTAATTGCGGCGGATATTTTTGTTTGACTAGAGCATTCTTTAGTGTTCTGCAATTTTTTTGAAACTCTGATTGCTCTGAGCAGATTCTTTTAAAGCGTAAGGCCTGACTGTAAGGGATGCTAGTTTTGCAATGTTTCACGTGGCTACTGTCAAAGTGCAAATACTGTTGCCGGTCTGTAGGCTTCCTGTATAGAGCAGTGGATAGCTTATCATTTACAATTGAAATGCTTACATCAAGAAAACTAAGAGTTGATGTGGAATAGGTATGAGAAAATGATATTGATGGATGGGCATCATTAAAGTCAGATATGAAGGAAAGCAACTCCTGTTCACTATGCGGCCAAATAAGGAAAATGTCATCAATGTAACGTTTATAATAAAAAGGTTTCAGCGCGCGGGTTTGCAAAAATTCACTTTCAAGCTGGCCCATGAATATATTGGCGTAGTTGGGTCCAATACGCGTACCCATTGACGTGCCGCTAACTTGAACATAGTGTTGCCCTTCAAATTGAAAGTTATTTAGCTCTAAAATGAGCCTGAGCAATACTGCTAATGTGTTGCTGTCGATAAATTTACCCGGTGATGCTGCTTCATAGGACCTGGCGACTGCCGCTATTCCGTCTACATGCGGAATGTTGGTGTATAAAGACGCTACGTCTAGCGTGACCAAAAAGGAACCTTGAGGAACAATCAGATCAGTTATACCAGAAACAAAGTCGGTAGTGTCCCTTACGTAAAATGGAAGCGATGCTGGGATACTGCTGATCAGAGAATCGACATAGCTGGACAATTTTTCTGTGACAGTACCTATACCTGAAATAATGGGACGGCCGGGGTTGTTTATCTTGTGTATTTTAGGCAAAAGGTAAAAACGACCAGGAACAGGACTTAGGGGAATAAGAGAATGAATCGCATTGTCAGGCATCTTTTTGTTTTCCCGAAGCTCTAGCAAAGTGCTCTGGACAAGAGATTTAAATTGTTCAGTTGGGTCGTGATCCAGACGCTTGTAAAAACTCGTGTCTGCGAGCTGTCTTTGGGCCTCTGCTTCATAATCAGACTTGTTCATTACGACAACAGCCCCACCTTTGTCTGCAGGCTTGATGACGATGTCATTGCGACAGGACAAGGCATTTAATGCTTTCATTTCACTGGTGGTTAGGTTACGGCGAAACGGCGTTTGCTTTCGATACGACTGTAGTACGTCTCGTTGTACAGCTTTGATATACATATCTAAGAATCTGTCTCGTTGTGAGGGAGGTACCCAACGTTTTCCAGAAGGTAATGCGTTGGTGGAACTATTTGTATTTTGCCGGTCATAAAAAAACTCGCGCAAGCGTAAGTTGCGGGCAAAATTATCCAAGTCTTTCAGTAATTGAAATTCACTGTGTCCGCCTGTGGCAGGACAGAAATTAAGACCGCGGCACAGAACACTGCGCTCCTCAGCAGTTAGTACAATGTCCGAAATATTTACTCCTCAGCAGTTAGTACAATGTCCGAAAAAAATATAGTAAATATTTTCTTCTCTTGCTTTTACCGGTCGGACTACTCTTCATGTTATGTGCTTTATCTTTTATGCGTTTCATCTTTTATTTGTAAACAACGTGCTCGCGCATGGAAGCAATATCTTTTTACTCGTAGATTAGGTGCTCTTTATATTGTGTGACTTGCATATATATATGCCCATATATAGCCTTTCATGTCGGTTTTGACATTTGTATCTTACTGATATGCACATGTATATAAACAGCACTCGTGCCATAAACTGTATTCTGATGAAGGCCGGACCCACGGCCGAAACGTCAAATAAAATAACTTCGTACGTGCGTCTTCTTTCCTATACGAATAATATTTCCCGGACCCAGCATCACTTTTGTTTTTGGTATATATATATATATATATATATATATATATATATTGTGAAGAAGAAAACGCATCGTTGGCAAGCAACATCGCCACCGCTTGGGTACTGGGTCCTGGGCTTCTCTCGCTCGCCTCGTGCTGATCGTCGCCGGCATCTGCTGGACCGTTGCTATGTCCCGATCATGTTTTCGTCGTAGGGCCACCGTCGCAATACACGCTAATAAATCCTTTTTCAATTGGTGGAGGGTGCTGCCATTCGCCGTCACCTAAACCTGTAGCTGCGCAACCGAACGCTACCTCCCATCATGGCCACCAACAATGCGCAACCTGGCTCTTCCACTCCATCTTCCATTCTTCGCTTGCGAGAGCTGAAGGTCTTTAGCGGAGCTGATGAGACCGACGTGGAAGACTGGTTCACCAACTACGAACTGCTGAGCGCAAACAAGTGGGATGACACGGACAAGTTGACTAACGCCATCTTTTACCTCGCTGACGTGGCCGAAATGTGGTATAACGACCACAAAAACGACATTACGACGTGCTTCATCTTCAAAACGTTGTTTGCAGACGTTTTTGGCCGACCCGCTGTCCGCAAATCCAGAGCCGAACAACGCTTACGGACTCGCGCCAAGAAGCCAACGGAATTGTTCACCAGCTACATCGAAGATATTATTGGTCTTTGCAATCGTGTGAACACCACCATGCCCGAGACGGAGAAGATTCAGCACATCCTCAAAGGGATAAATGACGGCGCATTTCAGATGCTCCTGGCCTGTAATCCTGCCACCGTTGCGGAACTTGTCACTTTGTGTCAAAGTTCCGACGAGTTGAAGAAACAGCGCGCCCTGACTCGGCCATTTTTCTCACACGCCAACTCGCTCTCCAGTCTCACTTGCGTTCCCGACCACTCACCAACTCTGCAAGAGATTAAAGACATTGTGCATGAAGAAGTAGCTCGGCAACTGTCATTGATTCCCTTCACGCAGCAGCCGCCGTCCTCTCGTCTGCCCTCACCACTCCGCGTCGTTTTTGCCGAAGAGGTAGAACAGGCTGCTCCCGTCGCTGCCCACCAGCAGCCTGTGGCCATGCCTGTTGCCCATGCGCCGGCTATGCAGCCCGCGGCCGTACCTCTTACGTATGCCCAGGTGGTACGTAGCAGACCCTGCCAGCAGCATTTGCCACCCATGTCTTTAGTTGCTCCCCACTCCGCTTCTTTTTCGACACCTTGGGCCGCACCGCGAGTCAGCAATTCCTGGCGCACTCCTGACAATCGACCGATCTGCTTCGCCTGCGGTACTCTAGGACACGTAGCACGATAATGTCACCGTCGCTTCCAACCACTCCACGACGCTACTCGGCCATTACCGTATGACCCACAGCCCATGTAGCTACCTGCTCTCTATCCCTCACCACAGTATGGATACACTAACCTTCCCGAGTCTCGGTCACCCCAGCCCCCACCTCAAACTCACTCTCCCCGCTCCCCATCTCCTCGCAGGCAATCACTGTCCCCAATGCGTCCTTGACCCGCTTCCTCCAACCGGGAAAACTAAACGCCGCAGTTCTAGAGGCAAGAACTGTGCCGTCGTCGAAATGATCAAGTCTTCGCACTTCACCTGCTAACGTCGTCGCCATATCTGTCGATGGTGTTTCTACCTTTGCCCTCGTCGACACAGGTGCTGCCGTTTCTGTTATAGCGGCCCAGCTCTGCCGCTCTCTACGCAAAGTGACCATGTCGCTCTCTGG